CGCCTGGCTAATTTTTCTATTTTTAGTAGAGACGGGATCTCGCTTTTGGTCAGGCTGGTCTTGAACTCCTGAGCTCAACTGATCCTCCCACCTCGGCCTCCCAGAGTGAAATGTGGTGTTTATTTTTAAGAAGAAGGAAATATTTTGTTTGAGGGTTGATGATTGATGCTTTAGTTGTAATAACAGTGCATATATTAAGTTTCTTAGAAACATTTAAAAAGTAAGTTTGTCAGGTGAAAAAAGTTCATAAAGTACATACTAGCAAAGAATATATATTATAATATAATATATTATTAATTATTAATACTTCATAGTCAGATTAATTTTAATTCTGATATGGAAAGAAAACAAACACAAAGTTCTTTTGATCAGACCAATTTAAAGTAGAAAGGGGATGGTGAATTTCATCTGTGAATCCCTCCTTCTGCATAGAGAGAATTTCTGGTCTTTTCTATAGATAAAAGGCTATATATGAAACCATGCAAATACCGCCACAGCAGAATGGATGCATACATGTGATACACTCACAGTGGAGCAAGTATTACACGGCATTGAGAATGAACAACCTGTAACCAAATCCAACAATATGGCGAATCTAACAATATAACGCTTAGCAAAAGAAGCCAGACACAAAGGGGCATGTCCTGCTCACTCCCATTCCTGCACAGCATAAAGCAATCAGTGCTGTTAGAGGCCAGATTAGCAGTTTCCTACAGGGGACAGGTAGTGACTTGGAGGAGCCAGAGAAGGGCTTTGTAATGGCCCATTTCTTGATGTGGGTGCTGCTAGATTTGTGTGCAAATCTCTGTGTGTGTTATTTTTCAACAAAAAGTTCAAAAGTAACTTGGTTTAATATATCATTAGCCCCTTTAATTTTAAGACTTTTTCATATTAATAGCTCTATTGTCTTTATACTGAAGAAGGTCATTATACGGCATACTTCAGGACACTGAAGCACAGAGAAGTTGAAATTTGCTCCGTAATTCAGCGTCTCAGTGGGTGAGCTAAGGACAGATCTAGTTTTTGGGTTTCCAACTGGGAGCTCTTTCTCTTAAAACTCCCCGGTGCCAGAGTTCACCCAGTGTTCCCAAGGCAGCTGTAGATGCTAGTACTCTTTCAGCGTCCTGCCTTTATAAACCTCAAACATACTGATTTCTCTTTTAAATAAAAAAGGCATTTATGCTGGGCCTAGCCTAGGGCCAGGCAGATAGTATGTACTCGATCAGGAGTGGGGAAACTTTCATGTTGGAAGGTCACATTGATTTAGCTGTAATCAAATAAGGGCACATTCAAGAAAATTCAGTTAGATATACTTAAAAATGTACATTATTTTGTAAAAATATAACTACTACATACTTAATAATTTCAGAAAATGGAAACTATTTGTTAATTTTAAAGTTAACTAACCTTTCAATGACACTGTTGTGTCTGCTTTTCGTTGGAAAGCATTTGAATGTTTGGTTGCGGCATGGAGGTCTGTAGTTTCAGTTGATCCTCTAGATGGGTGTAAGTCATTTGTGATCTTAAGGGTGTCTTGATTTGGGTTAGGTAGGAGAATGTAGATTTGCAGCAATAAGTAGTTGAAAACCAAGAAAGCGTTTTTCGGGCATGTTGCTGAAGGCGTGGGTATTCTACTGCATTTTTCCATATTTCAGGTAGATCTTTTCTTAGCATCAAACAATGACTTTAAAATGTCATCTACTGAAACGTCAATCAATTCCATCTTAGTTCTTTAGGTGCCTTGATGATATCAACTAGGTGAGGCCGAAATGCTAATTTGAGTGTGATGTCATGATTCTCAAAGTCAGTGAACCTTTCATTGTATTCTCCAATTAATAGGTCTATAACAGCTGCTTATTCTCCACATGATTCACATATATCATCCTGCTCATCAATGACCTTTGGCTACCTGGGGAAAATGTTCATCTGAAATTTCCTTTTGAAGGAGTGTTTTGAAAAAAGATAGCTTTTTTCAAAACGCTTGGAGTTTTTGCCACATATCATATATAGACTTAGTGTTATCTTGCAAAGAAATATTCAAGTTGTTTTGATTTGACATGATATCACACAGAAATGCTGCATTCCTACAGAAATTTTCTTTCAATAACTCACATTGCTGATTCTGTTCTTCATAAAATTTAACTGTGTTCACAAAGGTAAAATTTTGGCTAACACCTGACCCTCCTCTAGCCAATGCACTTTAGAATGATACAGCAAATCCACACTGAATAGCTCATCTTTCAATGTTGACATGTTGCATTTGCATAAATATAGTTAACAATACTTATAACTTGTTGCAAAGTGTCACTTAAAATAGTAGCTTTAGCACAGGGATTTTGCTGATGTAAGATAGAATGAAAAGAAATGAGAGCACCTCAATCTGTCGATACTTTTTTTTTATCTGTGCAATAAGCCCGTCATATTTTCCTGTCATGGAAGGTGCACTGTCTGTATACACATTCACTAAATTTACCAAATTCCATCCAACTTTATGATATTTATCTTGAAAGTTGTTGAAGATATGTATTCCCACTGTTTGCAAGAGTGCCTAAAGCAAGTAACTCTTTGTAGCAAAGACTATCTTCTGTTATAACCCTATGAAGTATAAAAACTGTGCAGAGTCAGTAGTATCAGTTGATTCATCCAAAGCAATTGAATAATCTATATTTTCCTCTTGAAGTATTGCATGAAGTTATTCTGTTAAGTTGAAGGCTATTTCATGCTGCCCATCAGTTACAGTTCTCCTTGAAAGAGGCAGTTGTTTGTACTTTGAAATGTTACCAGGGTCTAACATCCTACAACTTCGAGAATGCATTCTTTCACAATTTCTACATCAGCGAATGGCTTCCTTTCTTTCCCCGACTGTATAAGCTACTTTATAAGTTGCTTCAGTGACATTATTTCCAAGTCTTATTGCTCCTTGAAAGAATTGTCTTTGCTTTTGTTCTTTTAATTTCTGCAATACAAGCTTTCACGCCTCTCCTTCTAATTTAAAATATTTGTGGTCCTTGTGAGTGTTATAATGCTGATGAGCATTGAATTTCTTTAATGTTGATACTGCAGTATCACAAAGCAAGCAAATCATCTTATCGTTAGCAGGACAAGATAACATTGCAATTCCCAATCCTCATTAAAAAATACGTTTTCTTCCTTCAGTGTTCTCTTGGTCTTCTTTGATGTGATGGGCTGCTAAGCAGACAGAATTAAAAAATACTGTCGAGCTGAGCAACTATTCACAAATTCCACTTCAAACAGAAACACAGTGAACTGTTGTCAAAAGCTGGTGACAGACTGGTGTGCTCGACCCCCATAAACTCTTGCCAGCCAGCCTCATGCGGCAGTGGCGCCAGTCAGGCGGGGGAAGTGAGAACTAAGTCATGAGCGTAGCAGCCGTCAATTTAGCCCTTGTGGCTTATGCATGTTCTAATTGTGCCAGTCAATCTGGGAGGATTATTTCATTGAAACTTATTTTATTTTTTGGCATTTGAAATACATTAATTTTAAAAATAAAATAAAAATATAAGAGAAGACCAAAAATGTATTAATAAAAATAAAAGGATTTGTTCTGTAAAATTTGGATTCAGTCAAAAGGCTGCACTAAAGGACCTAGAAGGCCACATGTGGCCTTAAGGCTGCAGGTTCCCCACCCCCATACTTGATAAATAATTTTTGAATATATACTATTACTTATAAAATAGTCAAAATGGAATGTTACTGTAATAGTCTGTGGAATATACATTGTAATATATATTCTTTGCTAGTATGTATTTTATGAACTTTTCTCACCTGACAAACTTACTTTTTGAATGTTTCTAAGAAACTTAATGTGTGCACTGTTCTTACAACTAAAGCATCAGTCCTCAATTGAAATATTTCCTTCTTTTAAAAATGAAGACCATATTTTTTTTTAATGCTTAGGTTTCTTGTCTTTATTTTG